CATCCTGCTAAGGGTGTTCGGCATCTTGTGCTTACTTCCTTGCGTACGGACGACAGCTGCGTATGACTTCTTTTTTTTCTGGTGCTTCCACCTCCATAAACAGTTACAACACTGCGTAACTGCCTCGAGGGTGCTTGACCAATTTAACACAACGTGGTGCGATCATCCCCTTTGCGCGGAGTGAGGGTTCTCGACCCCTCACAACATAATCTACTCGACCACCATTATGATTACCGTCGTTAAACACAGAGGCAAAAAAATAGCGGTATCCTGGTTGCCGAGCTCACGACGTGATCGGCTTGTTTTAACAGCGTCGTTGCCAAGCGACGAAAACCCAATCCCATTGGTAAACATCGGGCGGGGGGGAGCCGGGGGCAGGTGGTATATATTCATGGAGAGAGGACTGGAGCGGCCAACCTAAGTGCATGAACCACCTCTCCGTAAATGATCCGTTGTAACCGATCAAAATTCGAGTTCCAGCTCGTACACTGATCACGACCGGTTGTTTGAGGCTTGATGCTGCTCGCTGATGGGCACGCGACGCCTGCCACATACCAAATCAGTAGGCTCAAACGATTGCTATGGACGCAGTTGATGTGGTCGGTGATGTGGAGAGTCAAAACAGCAAATGCTTGCGGGGGAGTGTCTCTGTCTCGTGTTAGTTTGAGAGACCAACAATTGGGCTTTGCGGCGCATGAAAGTCGGCCTACCGAGCTCAACTAACAAAGGACGGGCGGTAGATTTGTAAATGAGAGAACATAGGCAACAGCAACAGCAACAGCAGCAAGATGTTCCTAGAAGCAAGACATGAACACTAGTTGCTTGCTCCACTCTGAAATGCTCCACTCTGAAACAAAATGACACCCTTACATTCGTATTTTAAACGGTCCGTCGGTAACCTGGTTACCGTATTACTCTTCAGGTTGTGGGGTCGAATCTCTTTGGAGTGAACAAATCGCTTCAGTCGAAAGTTTCCCCAACATGAGGGAAGCAAGTGCTGAAACCTTCTCGCGTTAAACACTGAAGGCAACCACCCCAGCGGGAAAGGTGGAGCGAATTACGTATCACCAGTGCTGACTGTTCACCTTCCTCCGGTGCGACCCCGGCTGATGCGTCAGACAAATAGCCAGAAGGTGCACTGTAGTCTGGCGCCCAGAGTAGATGGAAGGAACACACACACGCAACCAGAAACAAG